GTTTTCCATTAATACTGTATTACGTCAAAGGAGACATGGGCTGCGTAACCTGTGCTCTGTCCCTATTGTGTTTTTAGATTCCACTAAAATCACAGCTCCCTGTTATTTTACGCTTCGGTTGCATTGTAACAGCTCCTGAGTAGGCAGGCAGAGCTCTGCTTGCAGCAGGCTCTGGTGCTTGCTAGTAGCAGATTCCCAGTCACAAGCTAATTACAGCTGAGAAAACGAGAGGAAATAAGAGACACTCTAGATAAAGCATCCTTCGCAGCTTGTGATTTTTGAAGCTGGAATGGAAAGGGCCTGGGAAGGGATTATTAACGCACATAAATGGCACCTGAAGAATGCGGTGTTAAATTACTGCGAAGCTCTGGTAGTTTGAAGAAGGAAGCTGCGATCTGCACATCTGCCGTTCTTTGGAAACACTTTCCACTTACGACTTTCCCGTGTGATCGTAGCCTGAGCAGCTGCTGCCAGGTGCCTGTGCTCCCTTCCTCTCCCTCTCCTCCCTCCTGTCCTCCTGCAGGCATCCTCACAGGGAAATACAGCCCTGCTTTCAAGGGAAATGGCTGATTCTGTTGCATTCACTGCTTTGTGCACTTCAGCGTGAGCTCTCCAAGGCCTTCAGATGTCCTTGCTCATGCTAAAACTCGACGGTGAAGGACAGTAAGCAAACTAGGAAAAAGGCTGTAGTGCTTTAGGAGATGCATTTCTACTCATCTGGCCTTTGTCTGATCTAAGCCAGTACCATGACACGTCTCTAGATGATGTAATCCTGGTTCTGCCTGTATTAACATGGTGTCCTACTGTACTTTATTACATTAAAAAAAAAGACAGTGCAGGTTGTCAATATTAATAACTTCAGAGATGTAAAACTCCGAGTGCCATTGCAGTGGTTCAGCTGTAATGTTCTGGGTGAAAAGGAAGATCTTATGTTGTCAGCAAAGCTGGGTATTTTTGAAACAGATTGGGAGTAGCTGTTTTATGATCCAATTGTCCTCTCTTCAGGTTAACTTGCACTGAAGCCTCCCTCTATCTTGTGGGGGTTTTGCTGTCCTACTTCAGTGCCTGCAAGCTGGCTTGTTGGCAGAGGGATATGTGCAACAAAGGCAACGAAGGATCCACAGTGCTCCAAGACATGAATTCAAGATCAGATTATCTTGGGTGCATGCGATCTTGAGACCTTTTTGTTCGGTTGTGTTTCATTTCTTTAAAGAAAAGGGATTATTTTTTTTTTTAACAGTTTTGAATCAGCCAGGAAGACAGACTTTGGATCTTTAAATTGTTCCCTATCCCTCCTAATAATAGCTTTAGGGTTGTCTGAAAATAGGTTTCTTATAGAAGGCTGACACCTCTTCTTCAGAGTAAGGATGGCATCCTGTTGGCTTCTCTTTTCTTTTGAGATTAGCCGGTGGTTAAGTTGTGCTCCCCTGGAGGCTCGCAGAAGTGTCTTAGCCAAATGAAAGACCAAAGCTGCTCAGCTTGCTGACTGAAGTCAATATCTGTGCAACTTGCTTTGCTTTTGGAGGCAAACAAAAAGTTACTCCTCTCAGGAGGATTGTTGCTTGAGGCCTTTGTTATCAGCGTATTTCTAAATGAGCTTTTCTGAGCGATGCAGATCTCAGGCCCTCCTAGGGAAGGGCGGCATATGCCTTCGTCATTGCACGTGTCGGGAACATTGGTCTGAGTTATTGAAGGCAGGGCTGCGGTCCAGTGTCTAGAAACACGTAGGGCTGACAGGCAGTCTACTTACAAATGATGGAAAAAAATTCATACCTTTTTTTTTTTTTTTTTTACATTGGAGCGAGTAGCATGTGAAATCAGATTTTTATCTGGGGAGTTTCTTCCAGTCACGGACCAGGAGCAGCAGCCAGCAGGGCCTCGGGGCTAGCCACTGATACTGGTCATTTGAAAATCACGCTGCGGAGTGGAAGTGGAGACAGAATTTCCTTGGGTTATCTGAGCCTACGTTCCTCTGGTGAGCAACTTACTGCTCACTGCAGAGCAAAGGGGAAGGACAGTCTTGTGATTAAAAAATAAAAAACAACTAAGACTGAGTCAGGAGTCCAGACTTCTTGATTCTGACTCTGGTGCTGCGAACTCTTAGCTTTAGATTAGATTGCCTAACAGCTGTTCAATGGTGGCTGTTTAATCTCTTTCAAGACCTGTGTCCTTTGAGCTTCTACTAATGGAAGCCGATGTTTTTAGCACTTTTTTTTTATTCCAGCTGTAGTCTGTAAGCGTTCAACACAGAGAAGAATTGTCACTGCTTCTCTAGGTCAATGGGATTTTCTGCCTTTCTCAGTATTGGCTTTTCAGATGTAGATGGTCATCTATTAATTTGCTTGTAGTCACGTTTTGTGTACATCCCAGGGCTCTACCGGTCACATACTGAAAGCTGGTGCTTTTGGCTGCTAGTGAGAGTGAGTATGGTACTTTTGAAAACTTTTTTTTTTCCCTTTTTTTCCCCCCACTATTCCGAACTCTCAAGCAACAGACACTGACGTGAACTTTACCTGAGAGAACTAACTACATCGATTGCCGTGTGTACCATGCTTTGAAAATACAAATTGTTGTCTGAGTAAAACATGTTATTTCAGGTAGGATTTAAATACCAAATAAGAACAAGAAAGAGTCAGAAAATAGAAACGAGCAGGCTTGCAGAGAACAAAATGGGTCCAAGCCTTGTGTGTGTGTTATGTTTTTTCCTGTAAGATGATATGCCTTTGTAATTGTAAAGCTTAAATCTTTGGCAGATGAGATACCTAGATATGAAGTGAGAATTTACAGACCTTCCCGAGTTTAAAAATGATCAATAACATGTGGAGCTTGTGCTTTCAGACAGTCAGTGAATCTAGTTGGAGCAAAGGAAGGAGGAGTAGGTGTCTGGAGTCTGAGAGACTGATGGTACAGAAACTGGGATGTCAAATCTGAGCAAGAGTAGCAGGCATCTCGTGGATTTCCAGGCTCCAGTGTCAGGATGTTCTGTGTGCGTACTTGCATGTCCTGATCACACAGTGTACATAACACGTTCTGCTGGGTAAGAATAGTCTGCAGTTGTTGAATCTTCACTGGCAGGCAACATGTGGTGCTGTGTGTCTTATCTACAAGAATTTCCAGAATGCCGGTTGCGTTTAGATGTTTAGATACTCCTTTATAGTTTAATATGTAGTATAAGGAGGTTGCTAGAGAGTTAAAATGAAACTTGTTTCTCTTCTTTACTGATCTTTTTTAATGCGACATGGTACATGAATATAGTGATTTCCTTCAGAGATGGATTTTCATGCTTTAGCTGCTTGGGCTTGGAAGGCCAGTGTGTATTTATTGGAGTGTGTGCTACTCTGAGCTTGAATAATTCAGACTGTTGCAGGTTCAGGTCCGTTTGTGCTAGTGTTACGTGAGGCTCTGAAACTCTCCACCTTGGACTTTACTCTGCACTTCTACAGCTGGGTGTGGGTTGGCGTATTTGTGACTGTGGTTGCTTTCCTCTTAAGCTTATGCAAGCTTTATGGGAGCTGGTTAATGTGCTGCTTGCTTTCTGTAGCCATCAAACATCCAACCCTTTGCAGTCTGTGTTCTGTGATAGAAGGAAGACTTGAAGCCTGTATTGTTTTTAAAAAACCACGCTTTTACCTGGTGTTCCAGGCTTGTGGGTTTTCAGGGCTGTTCCTCCTGTTTGGTTTCGGCTTGCACTTGAGTGTTGAAATAACTGAAATAAGGAAGCAACCTATATCTAGTAGAGCCTTGCGTTGCATTGTTTAGACCTAAGGAGAAGCAGAGTGCATCTCAGAGAGCAGCAGCGATGGGAGTCGAGTGCTGAGGAAGGAGGAGTGTGAACTGGCACTGTGAGGAAGGCAGCTTGCTTGGTGCACTGTGCCTTTGGCTTGCTTAAGCCCAGAGTGACCTTAGGGAGTCCATACAGCTAGAAATGTGTATGGAAGGCCCGATGAATGGACAAGCTTGCTGCTTGGCATCCACAACAGTGCTGCTAATCCTCATAGCCAGTTCTTGCAGTTCCTGTTGGGAGTCTCCTGAGAGCGTTTCCTCACTTTCTGGCTCTAAGGGTCAAGTCATTCCATGAGAAAACTAATTTTCATTTGAAAACAGCCATGTGTCCTTGTAGTTGATAAGAAAAACTAGAAATGTGATCCAAATTTACTCAAACGTCTCAGAAATCAGAAGGACGTAGACACGGAATTAAAAAAAGTTGATTTTCTTCTCCTTGGCAGCATTTTTTTCTTCTGTTGTGAATGAAAAATTCTGGGTATTGAAACTCTCAATACGCTATCCGTAGCACCAGACTCTGAGTAGTGGCAGACCAGATTCTCGCTTGGAAACACCTTTGGTGAGTTCCTGTCCTGCATGGCAGGGTAATGTCGGCCAAGCAGAGCTGGTGAGGCACAGTTGACAAAGCAGCTCCGACTGAGGACTGCAGCATTATTCCTGCCTTTTCTGTTTGACTTTGCGTAAACACAAGGACATCACATACCCTGTTTGCTCTGGTTTTCCCATCTGTGTGGGAATGATAGAGATCAGCGGTTTTCTCTTTAAGTTCCAGAGATGAGAGCTGCTACAGTGACAAGCTGTTGTCTGAGCAAAAGCTGACATGGGCATTGATGGGACTGGTGGCTCTATTCCAGTGACCTCTTATGTGGACTAGGAAAAAGAGGAAAAGCAGAGACAGTGGGAATTCAACCTAAAGTGCTGAGCTTGAAGTGTAGCAGCTGTGGATTTCCTCAGCAATCCAGGCTGACAGGGGTTTTCCTGAAGTGGAGTGCTTGGCGGCTGTGGTTTTGTGGTATGTTCCCCTCCTGTTCCTCTTCCTCCCGAAGAGAACGGTTGACGTGATGGGACACTGTGGTGGATCTTCCTGTTAAGGTGATCCCTAATTTTGTAGGGTTTGTAACCATCAAAACCTGTGACTCTTTATTGATGGAAGTTGCTAGTGTTGATCAAGTATCCTCATGTGTCCCCCTCTGCAAACACACTCTTTTGTCTTGTAGTGAGCACAAAGATTCCTCGGAAAAGAAACACAAAGACAAGGAGAAAACCAAACACAAAGATGGCAGCTCAGAGAAACACAAAGACAAACACAAAGATAAAGACAAGGAGAAGAGAAAGGAAGAGAAGGTAGGTGTCTCATGTGGGGAAGCCAAGAGGATAGTTCTGGTTTATACTACTGAATGGTACAAACTCAGTGGATTAGATGCAGCTCATACTTCCAAATTTTTATCAACCTGGAGAGAATTATCGCAGCGCTGACCCAGAGGCTTGGTTTGTGGAGTGCTAGATACGAACATGCAGGGGCTTCATCTGCAGGTACTGTGAATGGAAATAGTTCCATGGTGGAGCTGTGTCCACTGCCTCCACATTTTTTCCCCTGTTATTTTTCACTTTGTCAAGCTTAGATTCAGAGATAAAGGAGAAAAATCTGTTAGAGTACATTCTTTCTGTGCAAGGACAAGCTATACACTCAACTCCAATCTATTGATGAAATTGGAGGGCCGGAAAATGGTGAGTTGACTGAAGACATACAGAAGATGTTGCCTTTTTGGTGTGTCATATAGGGTCACTAAGGGTTACAGGGGCTGAAGATAGTCATAGTGCCCTTTGGTTACTTCTGCCAAGTTAAATACCCTGCCTGTGTTGCATGTTGGAAAAATGTTAAGGTGCTCTGGGCATTGTTAATCAGCACCTACTTTTTTATGTTTTTCAGATGAAATCATCTTCTGGTGATATAAAAATAAAGAAGGAAAAGGAAAATGGTTTCTCCAGGTAAGATATCAGGTCTACAGTATGAAAAAGTAGCAGTTTGACTTTTCTTAGCTGCTCAGTATTAGACTCCTCTCACTTCGTCTTGGAAAGTCTTGGAATGCTTTTGACCCCTTCAGACGATGTATTCTTTTCAATTACGGGAATTGGTAATTGATCTACTTACCTAGTAACTGGAGATGGGAGCTGTTGGATACCTGGTATCTGCCCGCACATGCTGGGTTTGTCAAAGGTTTAAATAGGTGAATTCTGCCAAGGACAGATTGAACTATAGAAACATTGGTAGCTGGAGTCGAAAGAACCTCTGTTGTAAAATTGGTACTGGAATCCTTCAGGCAGTCTTCTGGAGACAGGGCCTTGCAAAGAAAGTCCAAACTGCCTCTGAGTGTCTCTTCTGTAAGTGACTACAGCCTAAAGCCTTTGCAGAGGAGTGATGAGTAAGGAGGATGCTTGTGTAAAATCAGAAGTACCTTCAGAAAATCCCTAGATATCCTACTCTACGAAAGTCCTGCTAATAATAGAGCTTCCTGGACTTCGGTGTTGTATCAGACATCACTAAGTAGTCATATTAAAAACCTGAAGTGAGAGCAATTGATAGAAGAGTACCTTTTCTTAATAGTTGACCAACGAAGATCTCTTGTGACTTGTTTAAATCCAGCCGTTGGTTATTTTTGAGGTGATAATTCCGGTCCCTTGACTTACTGGAGACCTGTGGTATGGTGGATGCGTGTGTTCGTATTTGTAAGTCAAGAAAAGCTTTCAGTCGTGTGTCCAGTTTTATGAATCCACTTCCAAAAAAAAAAAAATCCTTCCAGTCTCACCATGTTCTGTGGACGCAGAGAGTTTGGGAGCAGACACCTGTGTAGTCCATGCCTGTTAGTTATTCTTTGCGTATTTTGAATATGCCCTCTTGATTTGAGTTCCTCCATCTGTTTGATTTTCTTACTCCTATTTAAAAATGCAAACTAAGGAGTTATGCTTGGCACAGGGAAGAGGCGCCCTCTCCAGGCACTTTTGGGGATGCTCTGGAAAGAGAGAGCAATGACGTTTTAGGTATTTTGTGGTGTAGGAGACACTTAGTAATAACTCTTTCTAGCCTCTACTATTTATCAGAGTTGCATGCATGTGCTGATCTCACCAGGGACATTGGATGTTCTCCTGTCAAGTAACTGGGTCCTTTTTAGGTCCAAGAGCATTTTTTTGTGTGTTGAAGGAAAGCCTAGAGGAGCCATCACAATTGTGCCCTCTCCAGGGCCAAATTTACAAATTCACCAGAGATGATGTCCTCGGTCAGATGGTTTTGATTTTCTTCCTTAAGACTTGGTAGGATGAGCAATGTTACAGTCTTGGGAACAATGCAAGTCAAGGTTCAGCTTGGTCATGCAGCTCCTTACTTTTAATATAATCACACTTTATTTCCCGCTATTACGAAATGTTGCGAAATATTTCAGTGTTAAAATAGGCTAGATAAAATTCCTAGCAGCTTAATGAACGGTAGATCTAGATTTCTGCCTGGAAGGGAAAATAAATTAAATGGGACAAACACTTCTTTTTCCATAGATGTTTTGCAGCTGTCTACATGCTGCAGACTTGTGTCTCAGTTAATCGCAGGCAGTGCCACAGAAATGGCTTCTTACAGCAGCATGTATCTATTTCCCCTGAGTTGCATCTGCCAGCACTGCAGTGGCTTTACAGCTGTGAAGGAGCAAACTGCCTTGTTCTGCTTCATGGGCATGTTACCGACTAAAACAAGACTCCAGAATGTCTCTTGCTGACTGCGATCTCCAAAGCAGAATGCTGCTTTTTTCTCCCACTCTATCCAATTGCAAAACCCGCATGTTGACTTGGAAACTGAGTCAGTTTGTTACAGAAATTGCTGATTGAATATGAATAGGAAAGCCCAAGATTGCACTGTTACTTTTTCTACCTGAGTGGAGCAGCACTAAGTGCTTCAAAATGTAATTTTAGACTCCATAAGACCTCTTTTTCCTTATGAAGATAAGTGAAGTGCTTCTGTGAAACCTGGAAATAAGAAGTTTATTTAAAGGGATAGTCTCTCTTGCACTCAGATTCTTTTTTTTTTTTTCTTATTACTGGTGTCTTGGGACATTATGGCTGAGAATGTTGAGCCTAATTTAATATTTGCGGTCTGCTGAAAGGGACAGGAGTATTTGCTTCTTGTAGTTTGGGTAGTGAAAAAGAGACTGATCAATTTAGCTTTGCCAAATCTTTCCTTTTCTGTTTTTCACATGCCTCAGTATTTAGTTGGCAAAAGATTCAGGGGAATAGCTTTCAGATCTTTGTTTGGCTTATAATCTTTTTTGTTCTTATCAGGCTCAAAAACAATATTGAGTTGAAACTAAATAATGTCCTCTATTTGACTGCACACATGCATGTCTTTCAAGTTTTGTTTTAAGTATATTTGAAAGTGCTGGAAGCTACAGCTGTTTTTACGCAAAACCTCAAACAGAGTGAAATCTAAGCAGTGGATGTCGATCATGATGTTGCTTGAGAAGTGGCAGATACATAGACACTGAAAGACTCTCTCCTTATGCTGTCTTGTGGCTATTCAGAGAATGACACACTTCAGGTTTTTGGGGTCTTAGGATGACAGCACTCTGCAGGAGTGGAAAACATGCCCATTTTGCAAATGGTCATTTCTTAAAACTGAGTTGTTGCTGGTTTCCAAAAAACTTCCTCTTTGAAGTTAGAACCGCCTTTCTTTGCTTCTTTTTGTAGTCCACCACGTATTAAAGATGAACCAGATGATGATGGGTTTTACGCGTCTCCGAAAGAGGACTCCAAACCCCTGAAGAGACCTCGAGAAGATGATGAGTAAGTGGCATGGGTGCTGGTGACTTGGATGTTTGCCTTTGGTTTGAAAAAGATAACATTGAGGGTGCAGGTGGGGTTACAGGCCGTCAGCGCAGACTTGTTCAGATGGGTGACTGGAGGTCTGAGACCAGACTCCCTACACTGTTACAAGTTCTCTGAGCAGGGCAAGGATAGTGTTTGTGGTGTCCAAGGCAAAATACGTTACCTCCGTCTGCAGATGGTGCTGTGAAATGTTGCAGTGCTAGTAAAGAAGAAAAGCAGAAGATAGGTAGCTAAAAGACACCGACGAAGACATAAATCTGAGCAAGTGAGGTATTAATGCTAGAGAAGTGGCTGCAGTGGTTTCTGTTGGGTGAGGAAATGACTGCACAAGAGGAAGAAAATGCATAATCAACCTGTTTGGGGCTGTGGAGGAGGTTTGCCTGCACTGCTTGGCATGATTCGTGTGGAGTGTAAATGTGTCGTGGGTTACACTGAGGATTTTTGTCTCTTAAATCTAAAGAAAAATACGCATGATGTTTGCCTGATATAGTAACCTACCCCAGTATAATAAGAGCATGGTTACATCGTGCTGTGATCTGTCACCATCCATGTGCATCCAGCTCTTTAGATAGCGTCACCTTTCCAGCAGTCTGGAGTTAAAGGGTTGGAAGGGTTTAACCATACTGGCATTCTGTCCCTATGTGGTATTTCGCAGCTTCTGAGAGCAATGGGTGTGACATCTTTTCTTTTGCGTAATCACTTGCTGCCTTCTGTTAAGTTTTTGTGACCTCCCATCTCATGTCTGCAATGGAAAGATTAAGAATTTGCCAGTTGTCAATTTTGGTATTGTTACAACTAGTGGGGGGTGCAAAAAGCGAGCCTTGTGGGCAGATCCCAGACTGGTGACTGGAAAAGGAGTTGGGGATAGAACATGCCACTAAGCTTTTGCTCATTTATCCCATCTGATGTAATCACTGGGTGGCCGCTAATAATTTTGAATCAGTTCTTCCAGGAAGATTTTTGCTTCAGCAGTCTGAAACTTGGGGAGAGGTATTCACAGTAACAGCTTCTGGGTTTTAGGGTTTTGTAGGCTGTTTTGCTGGACTGGGAGAGTGGGGCATAAAATTATATTCTTTAGAAATGAAATATGCCAGAAATATTATGAACTTGTGCACACAGACGTTGTATGTATATGACTCCTCTTTGTTTTTTGTACTGAAAAATTGATTGTTTTCATCATCTAGTCTCTTTGTTCCTACAGTGCGGAGTACAAACCCAAGAAAATCAAAACAGAAGACATCAAGAAAGCAAAGAAAAGGAAGCTAGAGGAAGAAGAGGTAATGTGAAAGACAAGTTTATTTCTATGATCAAGAAAAGCAAGGCTCACAATTTGGTATTGAATTATGTAGAGCAAGGGGAATCTGATGCAGGGGCCGGGCTGGGACAAAGCTACATGTGGTAGATCCCCACCTATGGTGCAGGTTGACTTACCTGAACCATCATGTATAAAAAGTCAGGAAAACTTTCTCTCCTACTCTTAAAACAATGGATGGAGAAGATGCCTACAGGACGTGAACTTCCAGCCTGTTCCAGGCAATTCATAGTCATTTTGTGAAGTAGCGTGCAGAGGGTAGAGGAGCCTTATCAACAACATCTGGTAATTGCACAGATGATGTAGCACTGTTGAAAAGCAGAGGAGATGAAACTGAAATTAGCTGCTAGAAAGACTCTTAAAGCTTGTAGATGGCACCTAGGGTGGAAATGTCTTTGGAGAGGGACTTGGCGAAGAGAGGTTAGCCGTGATTTGAGACTAATGAGCTACACTCCATCTAGCAGAGATACCCTTGTGAGGTGTATGTTGCAAGCACCTCCTGGCAACGTGGTTAATGCTTCCCTTCAGTGAAAGTGTCTCCATAGTGAGCAAATACCAGTATCTTCCCAGAAGCAGCCTCACAGTGGTGTGAGTGTGCTCTGTAGCATTTGCCAGACTAAACACACTAGTGCAGGCCAAGGAGGTGTTTCTATAACTAAGCAATCACATTACTATGGCCCAGACTTGCCGCTTATCAGGTGTGGCAGAATAACTGGCTGTGTGTGCACTTAGCATGTCCCAAGTGTAAAGTAAAAGAATTTGTCTTAAAACTTAAGTGGGACCATCAGCACACTTTGACTTAATAGGATGATCTAAGAGCGCATTTATGTAGCGAGGCTGCAGGAATTCAGTTGTTTGTGGTCAAACTTATGTACCCCAAGAGACAGTCTTTTAGTTTTAAAACGTCTTTTCAGGGAGGAGGGGAATACAGTAGCTTGTTCTAACAGATTCTTACTCATTTTGCAGGACAGCAAAGCAAAGAAAGTTAAGAGTAAAGATAAGAAAGTCCCTGAAGCGGACAAGAGAAAGAAGCCAAAAAAAGAAGAGGAGCAAAAATGGAAATGGTAACTATATATCAATGATGTAGGCTACCTTCTGCACCTGGACTTTCCCTGTTACCTCCCATGCTGACTGAGTAAGCACATCTGACTTTCTCTTTCGTTGATTCACGAGGATTTGTTCTGAATAATTGGCTTATGTTCTGGTAAGCTCTAAATAAATAGCTGATTCACTATGTTCATCCTCTGAAGTAGAAGTGAAATACCTTTTCTGGTATACCTAAAACCAGAAATAAGTTTTTTATGGGGGCTTTTTTTCCCTAGCTGTAGAACGTAGAGGCTGTAATCTGTAATCCGATCATAACAAATCTGTAATGATCAGTTACTGGTGTTCTTGTGCCTGGTACCTGCTCCTTGCTGACACTCTTCATAGCAATATGAAAACTTGTGGGCTTGGGGTATCAGCATGAATATAAAAATATGTGCGGATATATTAACTAGTACTCTAGTAGATCTTACCTGTTACATACATGAGAGGCTGTCTACCATTTAATTCTAGCTGGATGTCAATTGTGTGCCTCTCAAAACTGCGCCTGCCTCTGGCACAAAAATTGAAGGTGGTCAAGTGACCGGTTAAGCTTGGGCTGTTTGGAAAATGAATTTTGAAAATAAGTTTGGAATGGAAAGCCTTTTCTGTCTTGCCCAGGATCCTAAAGTAACATCACTGAGGAACTGAAGTTGTGCTTTCGCTCACTCTTCAATTTTTTTAGAACCTTTTCTAAATAAATCTGAACTTTTGTGGTTCATTCAGAAGACAGTATTGTGCTGCATCAGTAGTGTTCTGTGTAAGAAACCTGCTGGATTTTATTTTTTAACTACCCACAGTAATTTAAGCTATTGTTATTGATGGATTTGAGGAGCTCTTGTGTGTTTTGAAGTTTGGGCTTTAGTACTTCCCTCAGTTTAATGCATATGTGGTTTTCAAAAGCATGTATTTTCTGCATGCCTATGATCTCCTGTAATGTATTTTTATGACCTTTTGGGGATGATGCTGCCATGAGCATTTTCTTTTCTCAGATCATTTGGCTGGTTTTAATAGATCTGTAGTGTTGGGGAATGCCTTTGCAATCTTCTTCAGTCCTTTCAGGTTCAGCCTTTTACCCATTCATTGTCACTGTTACTGATTCACCTTTAAAAAGATGATTTTTTCTGTAGTGTTTGTAGCCTTTGCATATTTCTCTGTGATTGCCACAGCTTCCTCAGAACATCAGCACTTGCATATCTTTTTCATACTTGTATACTCTCTTAAAAATTAGATTTTCATGCCCCTCCCCAAAACAATGCTGATGTTTTTGAGCAATCCACTTTTTTATTGATCTCTTTGACAGCATATTTTTAATGTGCTTTGACATTAACAAACTACAGGGACATGAAGCAATGGGAAGCTACAGAAGGTCTCTTTAAGCCTTAATGATCTGCTGTCTTTTTGGCTTTGTCTCAGCTGCCCTTGCTGGTTCTATCTAACTTAATATTCTGTTACCACAGCTCCCTTTTGTTGTAGTCTGTATCCTTTAACAGCAATCTTTACTGGAAAGCTGTGCTGTTTTCCCCTCACGTGCCTGGGCAGCGCAGTCCCAGGTAGCTGTGTTAAGCTCTGCGATTTGTGCTTACTGCTGAGGAAAACTGCCTGTGAAAGCATGTTCTGCAAAATTGGCAGTAGGTAACTGCAGCCCTCCGCTGATGTTGCTGTCGTCCATCTGCAGCTGCCTGTAGCCTGTCTTTGCTGGACAGGGTTTCAGCTGCACTTCAGTTGTGTCTCTTAAGGGCATTTTATGTTCCATCTGAGTCAATTTTCTGAATGTCTGGTGTCTTTTTGGCTACTTCCATAAGTGCTTGCTGCCTTGAGCATTTTTATCCTCGCTTATGTGAATACTTGATGCTAGACATTCCCAAGGCCTTGGCCTCATTCATCACCGTGTGGAGCTCTTTTAGAGGTCATTTTCACACTCTGTCAGTGTGTGAAGAATACGTGATCCAGAAGTATACCTTATGAGCCGTTCTCCCACCTTGTGTTACAGCAATTTCATTTCCTTGAAACAACATATCCCTAAGGTGTATTCTGTTGTTTTGTTTTTTTGTGGTTTTTTTTATGGTTGTGTTTGGGATTTTTTTTCATAAGAATCTTATCTATTTTCATTCCGCTTGAAAAACCCTCCCCAACTCTACCTTCGTGAGCTACCCTGGCCTTCTTAAACAGGCTTGATATGGGATTTAATTGAGGAACCTGTATGGCCAATTAGCACAGTTTATGCTGAAATCAGTAAGGCAGCTTTCCTAATATGCAGCATTCTCCTTGCTCCCACAAAATCATTTGTAGAACGTTGCTTTAGGAACAGGAGCTACCTTGGGCAGTGTTGTTGTAGTGCTTTTTCTGTTTAAAACCAAAGGATGATGAAAAGTCGGCTGACCTCAGGAGGCTCCCTTTTGCCTTTTGTCTTAATGCTTTTGTACCAGCTTTAGGAAGGTGAAGGTGGGACTGGGAATGGTTTGTGATCTTTTGCTGGCCAACTATCTGATAGCTTTGGGCTGAGAAACCATCCCGTGGATCCCATGCTTTCTTGTAGCCCTCCCAAAAGGCACCATGAGCTTCAGCTGTCTATTTAAACTACTGCCTCTCTAGTGCTCCTTTTGCATGCATCCTTTATAAAAGAACAGGAATGGGTAGAGGAATTTCTCATGAAGTAAATACCAGAGTGATAAATATTAAAAAGCCATAGCTGAAATGCAAGGATGGCAAACCTGTCTTGTGAAGTAGTAACCACTGTGAATGATCTCCTTGATTTTTTTTTTTTCTTTTTTTTTTCCCCCTTACCAGAAGAAAAATACTCATTGTCAGAGAGGATAGCCTTTTTCTGGCTGGGAGGAGAGGTGAATGGTTTATATCTGTTTTGCTGGAAAGAGCCTCTGCGTGGAAGATCCTAGGCCTATGTTTGACAAAATATTTAGATTTCTAGCTTCTAATTAATTTTAAAAACAATCATTAGAAATGTAAATATTTGGGATATAGACTTCAAATGTCAATATTTGTTTCTTGTATCAACAAGGTTTACTCAAGCCGTCTTTCTAGCCAGGGACTGAAATCGGACGTGCAGGTTTTGTGCTGATAGCTGGTATCGTGCGTTTGGCTGCGGAGGTGTTACTGCGCTTCTGGTGAGAAAGTCGGGTCTGGTGCTGTGGTCGAAGATGGTGCCTTTCTAACTACAGCAAAATACTGTGTCCCACACAATTGTTGTTCCTGAATTATTGATGTACAGGCACCAGTGAAGCACTTTGAGCGTCTGCTAAAAGAAGCTCTTTTTTTCTTTATACAGTGCTGATCTTCTGTACAGTGACCTTGTTATCTCGTTAGGGATGAAGTGATCTATATTTGTGCATCACAGTTCCTGAGATGCGTGCAATACATGTGTGTCTTTTCTCAGCTGCTGTTGCACCCAGAATGGGACTACTCCATAGGGCTGACACTAGAGGGAAGCTTAAACTTTTTTTTATTGTCATGACTGCTCAACAAAGTTGTCTGGGCAATTCAAAGACTAAGTGCTGTGACAGGTTAATGGTCTTCCAGCTGATTAATCACTAAGGTAAAATAGCCTTTCTCAGCAGGGAATCCTGTGCCAGCAGCATGTAGCAGTGATGTTCTGGTAATCATGGAAGAAGTGTAGAGGGGAGGGGAGGAATGTGGAGTGGCTTGGACACAGGGTACTGGGAACTGGGGGGCGGGGGATACTGGCCTGGTGGGACCCCTTTCTTCTTTAGATGAATTGCTGACCCTGGGAGTTTGTTCAGTTGGAACGTGGGGTTGGTGGCGCCTACCTTGCTTTGTTGTGGTGCCTAATGCATCATTTGTAAACATTTTTATAGAGGTGCTTTAAGGCAAGTTTTCAGTTCTCCTGTGCTACTCTGTTTTTCTTCAAGTATGCTTTTCTTACCCAAAGAATTGGAATGAATTTAAAATGACAGAGCGGGTTTTAAGTCTTTCTCATCCAAGCAGGTTTGTTCTCATTTAGGTCGTAAATGAACATCTGTTTCTTTACCTCTGCCCTTAATGGCATATTTGTCCACATCTGAAAGCAGCTGTATAATATACTACAATTGTTTGGCTTTGCTGAGCAGGCAGCCTGGACCTGATGTTAGATCACAGCTGACTCTAATTTGGCATGATCCTGGCTGCTTTACAAGGCTGGATTCTTCATTTTCCTAAGTTCTAAGCTTTTTCAGTTGTGTGGTTTTGTGAAAACGGCAGTGGGAGGTAAGGACTATGGTGTTGTCAGATAACGTGCGACCCAAGGTGTTCTGTTCATGGATGTGGCCGTGCTTTTTTTAAAAAAATAAAAGAAAAAAGTGGTGACAATGCATTGAATATTTGTACTTGGTCTGTGCCTGGCAAAGCAATGATTGCTTGGTGATTTTCTTTAACATACTCTTACACCCGCTTAGTAATGAAGATCAGGAGCTTAAAATTGTATTGGTTTATATTTCTCTCTTGAAGGTGGGAAGAAGAGCGCTACCCTGAAGGTATTAAATGGAAGTTCCTAGAGCACAGCGGTCCTGTATTTGCTCCACCATATGAACCTCTGCCTGAAAACGTCAAGTTTTATTATGATGGTAAGTTAATCTGTTTCCACTTGTTGGGAAGAGAAATAAACATTCTCAGGGTATTGTGGTGGTGTTCTGGGGACTGAAGAGATGAGGCGTTTTTGTTTTAGTGGTTAGCTTAGAAGCAGCTCCTTAATGCCTAAGGGAAGGAGCGATCTGTAGAAGTCAAGAAACAGCCTGCTGAATTCTGCTGAGTTGCTAACAGACATGAACTTGTTCTCACTCTGTTCCAGTGGTAAATCTCTCAGGTTACATAACAGTATGGGAGTATCTTATGCCTGAGAGTAGCCGTGTATAACCACTAGAGTACATAATTGTAGCTACTTCATCACTGGTCACCTATAGGCTTGCTCTGTTTTCTTTAACCTTATGAACTGCATCTTCCATAATCTGTGATGAAATTCCTCATCATTTAGTGGCATGAGCAGACTAAAAGACAAATTTTGATACAGATTGTTAGGGTCTTGTAGGAATGCATGGGATGATCCTGGCCACAAGGACACAGCGCTCTGGTTAAGTCATGGTCCCACTCACTAACCATTTTGTGTGGCAGACCTAATTGATGTGGGATTCTAACGTGCTGGGCTGACTGGTTGTTAGAGGCTCGTATGGAAGGGATTATAGGGTGTGATGCCTGCTGGAGACCGAACTGGATGACCCGTGTGTTTCCTTTTAGTCCTGTGATCGTGTCAAATGAAGGATCAAATTAACCCGGGATTGAATCAAGTGAGAGGCATTTGAATGGATAAAAATGTAATTTTTGGTGAAGGGGACATCTGCACATGGAACTCTTCCAGGAGCAACGTGCTGTTTTCATGTGACATGACACAGTGTTTTTAAATGCTGGGAAATAGGTGGCATTCATTTTCAGCAACAATGTAGTGAAGTAAACATAATGCATCCTAGTAAAGGCTACCTCCAAGGAAGTAGCACAGTGATCAGGGATGTCTACAGACTGCTTTATTAGGGTTTTATGTGAACTTGATACAAAGTTGGAATTTTTTTTCCTGTATTGGAGAATGTACGATAATCTCTCCTGCTGTCTAGAGAAGAGGAGAGGGGCAAAGTGCACTATTGTGATGTCTTCGGTGCAGGCAGCAGTAAGCTCCTCTTCTGTCTAGCCATCTATTTCACAAAACCTCTAGGAAGTGCAGGGATTTCTGCAACCTCTGTCTCTGTCAGAAGAGAAATTCATCAATAGGCTCAACAATTACGAGGCGGGCAGGGGGGTCTGTCAAATAAAGCAATTGCATAAGTCTTCCTTGAGAAACTAGACAAAAAAAAAAGTCAGATATCTGATTTACACAGAAGCTGCTGAGAGCCACTGTCTGTGCTTACAAGGCATCGTCTAATTTCAAGATTATCCTAGGATGATTTGTAGAGTCCAATAATCGCGCTGTGGCTGGCCAGGCTGCAGGCTCTCACTGGAGGAAACTGTCCCTTGCCTAGTGATTGCATTTTGGTGAGACTGTCTCTTTTCATCTGACATAATGACTGCTGGAGCTATTGTTAGTGCCTACCATACCAGACTCAGTGAAGGAGCATGAAATGCCAAAGCCACCTTTCAGGGCTTGACTATACGTCTGCGTAACTGTGGGTTAACAAGCTACTGCTCGTACCCCACCGGCGGCTTGAACTTACGTGTTTTTCTGTAGATGGGGCAAGGTAGGAGAGCAGATGGTGGCAGTTGCATTGCAGTCATGGCCATGTCGTCTCTTCTGCTCATTATGTCCCCTGGTTGGTCTCTGGTTTTCAGTTTTTAAGTCGGGTAGCTAGCATTCATGTCTCTGGAATAAAACTCTCTTTTTTTTCTCTAAATATCCAGCCGTGTTACTGAGCGCTTTTTCAAACCTTTGTCAGAAGGAGGAAATTGGGTCCAATGAAATATATTCTAAAGTGATTAGATAAAGGTGACTGAGCCTTCAGCTATTTGGGAAAAATATCGGTCATTTTAGCCCTAGAACATGTTACTAACTTGATAGCCTCTTTCAAGCTAGACTTGCAGCTTGGAAAAACCGTTTCCCTTGCTGTCTCTCCCTTCCCCCATTTCCTGTTATAAGCAAACAAATGCTGTATTTTTGGCAAGAGTTGCTGTTGGTTTAATTTAATTGTGGAATATTCTCAGATCGTTGGGAGGACATTTTGCTAAGTCCTGTTTTACGAGGGTTTATAGATCTTAAGGCTTTATAGCTCACTCCCATGCTTGAATTTTGGAGATGATGCAACTTCTTAAAACATGTAGTAAATCAAAAGTGTGGTATTTTTTTTCCAAGAGCATGGAGTCAACAGTGGGGTTTCTTGTATTCACTTCTGTGCAGTAAAATGGTTGTTAAAAAATCCACAGGTGTTGACTGTCTGCCAGCCCACTGGGACTTTAAATATTTCTTGCAACTAGCTGGAGATGTGAGCTGCATGCCAAATCCTTCACTGGGATCACTGGCACCTCAGATGTCGTTGGGAATGCAGTCTGGGCCAAAAAGACGCTCGATATGAATGTTAGATGTCGAATCCACAGATTCAGTGTTGCAGCAGCCTCTTTTCCCTTCGGTTTTGAAGTCTGCCCTTGCTGCAATTTCACTTTGTACTGCAGTCTTGCAGATGAGCTGGAATGTGACCTCTCCATTCACCGAAAGCTCAGTCTTGCTTATAAATGTCTAGTTTGGAGACACAGGAGTGCATTCCTACAGCAAAGGGAGCGATTAGCAGAATCCTGACATGTTTCCCTGCGATGAAGGGGAGTTAAATATTTGGCATCGCTTTCTAGCCTATTTGTGGTGTATACATAGGAAGGGCTCTTCCTGGCTAGAAAGAGCTAAAGGCTAGAAGGGGTATTCCAAAGCAAAGTCATTCTGTGGGCAGAAGAGGCCTGCAGAGACTGTATTTCCCATATGTCTGAGTGCCAGAATATGAAATTTAATAAAATCCCTTGCCTCTTTCACTTCAAACAGCAGTATCTCCCCAGGAGCGAACGCACCACTGGAGTGTCTCAGCATAGGGTTTCCTGCAGGAGGCCTTTTCCCCTTCCTGCCTGCGTGTCTCAGACCCGTCTCATCAGACTACCATTGCTTTTTTTAATGTTTAGATTCCAGAGGAAACTTTTTTTCAAAATGTTTATGATGAAAATCAAGCAATTGTGCTTCTCTGTTTCCTTTGTCCATCCAATTTGCTGTACTAAGTAATGTTTTTAGGAAAAACTTCTTTGTGGTGAAGATAGTGTCCTTTAAGATAGTTACTATGGCCTCTTTTTGGCTTTAATTCCTGTTCACCGTTTTCTTTAAAAAGTAGACCTTTCTTTGCAGGTAAAGTCATGAAGCTGAGCACCAAAGCAGAAGAAGTTGCCACATTTTTTGCAAAAATGCTTGATCATGAGTACACTACAAAGGAGATCTTCAGGAAAAACTTTTTCAAAGATTGGAGAAAGGTATGCGTGTTGTCCTGGGCTGCAGTGGCTGCAGGCATGGCCAGTGTCTCCTCAGCACTGGGCAGTGAAAAGGGGCTACTGTTCCATGCACAGGAATGTTAGCTTGAGGTCACTAAAAGTTGCCTCAAGTCGTAGCTGTGAAGTTTCCGGTTCGTCCTGTAGTTTCACCAGGAAGGACACCATCATAAATAGCTCTATAAAGCAACAAAGTCAGACTTCTCCCAGCCAAATTTGCCTGTTACAACATGATGGGGTATAGCTGGTCTGACTGTTAGATGCCTTGCTGAAGAGCCAGCTTTGTATTCGAAAGAAACCCCTTCCAAAGATGTAAAACTCAGAACTTCACCTCAGATCAAACCTTTAGATCAGTTAAGTCCCAGGCACTGTTCGGTGTGAGAGCGCTTTGGGAGGTGCTACAGCATTGCCCGGCGCTCACAGAGAGCAGACCACTGGAAGGCCAGCGCTCCATATGTTCTGCTTCTTGTCCTTTTCTCTTTGACCTTAGCTGGAGTGAGCATGTGCAACAATTGAGAATGTGCAAGAATGGGGATTCTTGGGGATTTAATGTGAGAACCTGTATATTATTCCTGTTTAAACTGCATGGGGTAGCGTAAGCTCTGCTATGCATGAAACCTTACTATATATGAAAACTTAAAGCGCTACTTTCTTTCTGCAAGGAAATGACCCCTGAAGAGAAGAGCACTATCACCAGCCTCAACAAGTGCGACTTCACCCACATGAGCCAGTATTTCAAAGCTCAGTCGGAAGCTAGGAAACAGATGTCCAAGGAGGAGAAACAGGTACCAGAGTGAATCCTAGGAGACTTCTTGATTCTTAGTTGGCTTGTCAACACCTTTGTGTAATCATTCCTCTGCCTGCCTTACCATTTATAAGTCAGTGTTTACTAGTTCTCAGATTATTACTTTCATGTTAACTGTAGGAGTCTTTACTGTGCAGCTCAGGGAAGGCATAGCACTGTGTTTACAGTTGAATCTTCATCCTCATTTAAAATGACATTGATAGGACTAAGGCTCCTGATCCTTCTTAAGAAAGAGAATCAGAGGTGCTATGTCCATAGGGGACTTGGTCCCTGGTCAATAATGAGCAGTGGATACTCAAGGATAGATTTTCATTTTAGAAACTCCTTGGATTTGGAGGGCAAAATTGGGGATGGTGGAAGGGATGCAGCAGTGACATTAGAAATGAGATAAAAAGTCTTAAAATACTAAGTAATACAGTTTTGGGAGGCGGGGAGGAAGAACTTTATTTTCCAGTAGCATGACTACAGTGGCTTGTGGGGAGAGAATTAAATAGTTTTTAGATGACTTGAGACTTAACTGCAATGGAAGTTGAAACTTGCCCCAAGTTCTCAGTTGATCTCTTGCAATTCTACACTAGTTGTCCTTAGAATGAGGGGCCTGGTAGCTTGGAAGTACGGCCTTTAGGGTCAGAGGGGTCCCAGCAAAACAGAGAGCCTGTGTCTTACTGCTGTTTCTATTTGATGGACATGGCGGTGAGCCCTTCTCGGTTCCTGTCCGTGGTAGCTATTACAATGGAGCAGAGGTGGCTTTTTCTGTTAGTTTCTTAGCTGGCGCACTAGTGCTGTCTATGGGTCAGATGTTTTATTTCGAGCTGCAGCATTATTAATTTTCCTTCTGTGTAATTAGAGTTCAAGCGCAGAAGTATGCAGTGAAATCTCAGCACATTTTTACTTAGGAAACTGTTTTGCTTATGAAACCATTTGCTGACACAGGCTTGACATGCGGCAGACTGGAGACGTTTCTCTGCCTGCTTTCTGATGCTGAGTTCAAACACAGAAATCTGAGGGTTTTATACATAAACAACAAGATGTAAAGTCCAGTGGATGTCAAATGCTGAATATAGACTGTAAAGCAGCAGTACTGTGCTGGGGCTGCCCTTGTAGCTGTGATATATGGACAGAGGTACATGCATCTATTGTAGCAAAATTGTGTCTGTCTTCACCAGCCCTAATCTGTTTTAGTCAGATACAAGTTTTAAGTGACTTTTCGCACATTCTTTTCCTTTTTCTAGTTCGTTTGTGCTGTTTGCATTTTATGAATGCATCTCTGGACAGTCTGCTGCTGTGTGTTTTGATACAGCACTTGGCATGATGGGGATCTGGTTTTGAGTTGGGTCTTCAGCATTAGTGTGTTGCAAATCTGGATTTTTGTAAAGCCTTTGACATGGTCCCCCACAACATCCTTCTCTCTAAATTGGAGAGCCATGGATTTGATGGGTGGACCATTCGGTGGATAAGGAATTGGTTGGATGGTCGCAGCCAAAGGGTAGTGGTCAACGGCTCAATGTCCGGATGGAGACCAGTGACGAGTGGAGTCCCTCAGGGGTCCGTACTGGGACCGGTGCTGTTCAATATATTTATCAATGACATGGACAGCGACATCGAGTGTACCCTCAGCAAGTTTGCAGATGACACCAAGCTGAGTGGTACGGTTGATACACCAGAAGGATGGGATGCCATCCAGAGGGACCTGGACAAGCTGGAGAGGTGGGCCTGTGTGAACCTCGTGAGGTTCAACAAGGCCAAGTGCAAGGTCCTACACCTGGGTCGGGGTAATCCCCACTATCAATACAGGCTGGGGGATGAAAGGATCGAGAGCAGCCCTGCTGAGAGGGACTTGGGGGTACTGATAGA